TTAGTGTGTACTAGAAAGGCATGCTATGAGAATTCGTCTACGCCATTCTGATATTTGTTATGGTTGTGGCACTGAAGGAAGAAGGAATCCATGATTCATCTTTTATATCAATCCCTATTTTTGATCAGTAAAAGATTAAAAATCCTTAGAAATTTTTTTCTGACAAAACTGTCATCAAACCAAATTAGGAACTTTGGTACGTTAAAGACTTTTCAGGTTGGTTCACTTCTAGTCTACGTATGATCAACGTTAATAACGTTGATGTAATAGTAGCCTGTAGTATCTCAATAGGCCATTACTCGAGATTATATAAATTTGATACTACTTAACCTAATAGAATACATATCAGTTACGAAATAAACCCCTTCACTCAACTAACGTAAGCATTTACTTCTCATTAAAGTAGGTAAAAGCTAAATTATTAGCTAAAAGGAACCCACAATGTTCGGCATAATGGTGAATTGCCTTGGTTTTATCCTACTCTGGCCAGCTAACAGCACCAAAAAGAGATACAAAAATAAAAAATAGTCCGTAGACCATTTATAATAATAATAAAAACGATAAAAAATCAATCTACATATAAGAGGCATATGTATATTTTTACTGCTTAAAAATGATTTTTAAATGTAACGGTTATCGGAGAAGTGAAAATCATTCAATCTATTACATAAAAAAGACGCATACTTGATATAATCATCTAAAATATTAAAATAATGCTCGTTAATTATTGCTATTAAAAAGAATTTTTTTTAAGACAACAATATTAGTATTAAAAAAATTTTATTTTACTGAATAACAACAACAAAATTTTTTATATATATGCGGACTATAAATTAATTAAAAAATTCGAATATTCCCTACGATCACTGACTATTTGTATTTGACAATACTCAGATCAGTGTTGTATAGTCACCCATATTTCAACAAATTAACTAAAATTTTTGTTGTTTTCTTTTCATTTCTTTTCGAACCATTTTAACTTTTAAATATATAGTTTCTTTTCGTCAAAAGAAACGTCACTCTCAGTAATAAAAAATTAACATTAAATAATTTTTATTTATTTTTAATTATTCAAATTTTTGACTAACCATACAGCGGTTTCTCGTATTCCAAATACCCATCATCGGTGGTCTTGCAATTATTTCTTATATTTAATTATATATAAATAATTATTATTCATATGGTCAGCCAAAAATTCACTTAATTAAAAATACATTAAGACTGAAAAGTTTTCGGAAATTCTCATTTAAAATTCGCGCGCTGTATATTTTTCGATATTTTAAGTTTATGTAGTTTGGCAGCACTGTCCTTAATTACTATGCCAAAAATGAGCGCGATCTGTCAGACAGTTCGTTTACGGCAGCTGTTGAACACCAGTTCACCTCAGTAGTGCGTTGCGAAATGTCTTCGACGGTCGTACGACCGTCCTGAAAGGCTTTGTACCACTCATAAACTTGAGTTTTCGATAAAACTGATTCCCCATAAGCCTTTTGTAGCATTCGCAACGATTCTGCACACGAAATTTCGTTCGAAACACAAAATTTGATGCAAACTCTTTGTTCAATATTTTTTTCCATTGTTTTTTTCGCAACGCACTACTGAGGTGAACTGGTTTCAACAGCTGCCGTAAACGAACTGTATGACAGATCGCGCTCATTTTTGGCATAGTAATTGTCCTTAATTGCTGCCAAACTACATAAACTTAAAATATCGAAAAATATACAGCGCGCGAATTTTAAATGAGAATTTCCGAAAACTTTTCGGTCTTAATGTAAGTAAAAATTTTTGTTGTTGCAATTCAGTACTGTTCGAAACGTCTCTCTTAAAAAACAATAGTTTCTATTAAGTGAAACAGTCACTGGCGCCATAACTGATGTTAAAATTAAATTTAATACGAAAACTTTTAGAAAATATGTCCATTGAAATTATTAACAAATTTTGTTTTACTATCAACCTTTACCTTTCTAAAAGTCAAATCTATAAAATAACTTAATCTTCAAAGCTATTTAGTTAAATTCTCATGAAAGGCTGTAGCATTTCTTAGCTTTAAGGCAAATGCAAAATGAGCAACCTTAAAATATTTATTGAATATTCTTTGAACTTATTGTATATGATTTCATCCCGCAGCTTTTCAAATAACTGCATGAATTGACTTTTGAGCATAACACTTTGCCGTAGAACAGTAAAAATCTAAAGTACTTGATATAAATTCAATTACCACGATATTATAATCTGGCTGCCACCAAGGCTATCCCAAACAAACGCCGCGAATTTTTCAGAACTTTAATGTGTAATAAATAAATTTTAGCCGCATTCTACTTTACTCATACCTTAGCATAGCCAGTCATATCGGCCAGTCATATTGCCTAGCACTATGACCTGAATCGTGAATAAGGCAAAAAATTCTAATAGGATGAAGAAAATAAACCAAAACAAAGTCATAAAAATAAGTAAATCCGTAAGTTTATTGTTCTGAACTTTCAACACTGATATTACCTACATTCTACTTCAGTTTAATAGGTTTCCATACTCTTATTTATTTATTTTTTTTGTTTTGTAATTTTTTTATAGCTTTATTTTGGCAATTTTATATAGATTCAGTGCTAAATTAATTGAATATGGCCTGGTTGCATTGGTTGCCACCTGGTTGTATTTCGCTGTATGAGTAGTAAAAGCACAGTTGCGCCCATTACTTAGCTTCTATCCATTGCAAAAGACGAAATATCAATTAAAATTGATTTTATTTCAATTTTGTTGTTCTTTCTATTGCTATTTTTGTTGCTTCATCTATTGTAGAACATTTCGAATCAATGTTAAAATTTATGATCGACTTTTCTTGGAATTAAGTTAAAAATCAATTTTTTCTATTTGATGAGAGCTACTTATAAGATTTTTTTTCATACAATATTTTAAGTTAAAAACATAAAAATTTTATCAAAATCATTTGCTAATTTAAGTTAATTTTATTACAGAAATCAGTTTTAATCGAGTTAAAAGGGATTCCTGTACCATCTAACCTAATTAGACCTATTTAATAGTTATCTTTTTAAATCATAGTTATCTAGGAATCATAACTATTCATATTACAATTACTTGACTAATTACAAAATCAAAATAGAATTCCAATAATTTTCTAAGATAAAAAATTTATCAAAATCATTTGCTGATTTAAGTTAATTTTATTACAGAAATCAGTTTTAATCGAATTAAAAGGGATTCCTGTACCATCTAACCTAATTAGACCTATTTAATAGTTATCTTTCTAAATCATAGTTATCTAGGAATCATAAATATTCATATTACAATTACTTAACTAATTACAAAATCAAAATAGAACTCCAATCATTTTCTAAGATCAGTTAAAATAAATAAACAGTCTTAATTAAATTCAATTAGTTATCAAAGTAAACTGTTGGCTTTAAGTATTTCATACTGTAATTGATATAAAATATCAAGTTGAATGTCATCACTTCTTCATTTTAAATACAATTAAAATAAAATGACAGTGACTTTTATTTTATTTAAAGATTATCATTATTTAAAAACTGGGCTCTTATACAATGGAATTATAATGTTTTAAATAAATTTCAATCAATCAATGTTAATTAAGCTATTTTAATGAAACCATTTCTGATATTGTGCACTTAGATATAAAATCCAACATTTCAACCAAAAAAAATTTGGAATTCCTATATTACTTTCTATAACAAATAGAAATTGTTACTCTAACTACTGATTGCTTTTTTAAAGTAAAAAGGTATTCGATATAAAATTTTTATTCTTTCGCAAACCTTATTAGCATCAAAATTATTTATACACAAACATTTAATTTGAATCAAATAAATTCTTGGGCTAACCATAACCCCAAATATGCAGCATTGCTCTTTGGAAACCACTACTGATTTAATGGTCCTTATAAAATTTTTGGAATGCAAATAACAAGAATAAAATCATATGAAATTTAAACCATGGTATTTCAAATCCTTTTGATTTTTCACAACTTAATATTACGATTATTTATCTTCAACACTAATCACTTCAGTATATATAGTATAGAATTAAGCAGACTTAATAATGAGAACAATTTTAATTGTCTGACTTTATTATTTTAGTAAATAATATTTAGAATTCTTACCTTCTTTTCATCTTTTACTACCAGTACTTGTTTACAGCAGCCGTTACTACTGTTATTATTGCTTCCAGTTTTTGTAGTAATATCAGAGTGCGTGTATGCGTGTATGCTCATCATAAATGCAGATAAATATTCTCTGAAAAGTAAAACTAGAATAAGACAATGTTTTTGTAATATATGTATGTTTGTTTCACAAGTTACATTATATAGACATAAAAGAGATATATAGGAAGAGAAATAGGAATAAAAGGGGTACCAGCTCCCAACGTAGCGGAGCACAGCGACCATGGTTGATCTTTTGTGCTGCAACAGACCCTAACCGAACAGAAGACATTCCGCCTTTCGAATGAAAGCCAGAATGTCGGCTGTTGAGGATTCCCTAATGTCAGAAGGGGAGCGTACTTCTCGACCCAGTGATCTCTTCGTGTCCCAGATCAATGCTGGGCAGTGACTGGAAGTCTTGGGACTGGAAGTCTTGTGACTGGAAGTCTTGTCTGCTTCTAAACAGAGTCTACCATCTATCTCTTTGGATTGACTCATTTTGTTAAGTGATCTCCTCATGTCCCAGATCAAGGCTGGGCAGTCAACGAGAATGTCACTGGAAGTCTCGTCTGCTTCTAAGCAAAGTCGACAATATCTTACCATATCTTACCATAACCAGTAGCGACTTCTCTCGGCTGAAAACCATTTATCAATCAGAGACCCAGTTGTAGATCAACTTAATCTACAATATGGCTCCGGTTCACAGATTTGTCAATATATTATTTAAATCTAAAGTTAATTACTTTTCATAGATCTTACTATTTATTAAATATAAATATACAACTATTCCCAAAAAAACATTAATTAATTATTTTTTATATTTTAGGTGTCCACACAGGAACCACAACCATCAAATGAGTTTGCACCACAAGTTTCGGCAACATGTAAAGGTGGCACTATGAACATCAAAGTTAAATTTAACGTAGCGTACAGTGGAGCAGTGCATGCGCGTGATTATCGCACACCCGCTTGCATGACAATGGGCGATGGATCAGACGCAGTTGGCTTCAGTTTAAATCTGTGGGCTAAACAGGGTGCGCCCGACTATTGCGGTATCTTGGTCAGCAACGTGAGTGGTGCCAATGTAAGCTAATCCAGTTACCAATACTAATTTTGCTTTTACTAAAATTTAAATTTACATTTTTAAATCAATTCGTTAGTTTTTTTTTCCTCAATTTGCAATGTACAACTGAATGCAAAGTAGTTTTCGTACAAGTATCCACGAGCACATGCAAGAAATTTTTGTTATGATAAAATTTGAAAGTTGAATGAGCCACTCGAATTGCTTCGGACTCAGTCTGGTTGAAAATGTAAACATAAATGCATAAAATTGCAATAAAATGAAATTTTATACTCGCTTTAAAATCAAAGAAAGGAAGTGAATTTCTGACATCAACAGAAATAGTTTCCTTAAATTATGCAAAAATATATTTAAATGCAAATTCATATTAAAATAATCATAAAAGAATATAATTTCAAGGAAATAAAGCGATCTTACAAAAAAACAATGGAATAAATATTTCCTTAATATTGTTTGTATTCATATAGGAATTATCTTGCCATCAATGATAATGTGAGAGCACTTGAGAAAGTTTGTGTTCTAAGTCTTTCGTTGAATCACACTAATAATTTATTTGTTTTTCTAAATCAATGATATGCAATAAAAGTAATTTATTCTTAATTAGAAAATATAACTTATAACAAAAATAAACGAAGAATTTCAATTTCGTTAATATAATATGAATTTATAATATAATTCAATTATAATTATTTTTAAATAAATTAAACAGTATAAAATTCAAGTTAATCATAAATAAAAATTTTGTTCTTACAATTCACAACTGTTCGAAACCACTCTATAAAATTATTTAATAAAGTTATTTCAATGTAAAAGATTCTGTATTGAGTTTATTTACCGGCGGTCCTTATTTTACCACGACAGCTTTATAAATAATGTATTCACAGCTTCGTATATATTCCATGTTCCATTCCAAGTAAAAAGTAACCGGAATTTAAAATTTGAAAAACGGAATAATATGTTTTAATCTGTTTTGTCAAGAAGAGCTTAACGAAAGTAAGTGACAAAATGCCAATCATCCGATCAGTTCGATGCGAAAATATTCTTTTTCCAAGTCAAATATCACCACTTCAAAAAAGTAGTTTTGAACCCATTGCTATCGTTAAAGCAAATTTATATAAAGTATTGAGGGCCATACTTCAATTTTCCACGTAAAATGGAAGTAAGTTTGAGGCAAGCAAAAGTTCACTCTTTCTTAAGGATCGTGATCAATTACAAGACCTGCTACCAGTGGCGTAACTACATTTTTTAGGCCTGTAAGCAAATTCTAACTAAGGGGCCCCTACCAACATACTAAGGGGCCCCTCTTTTTATACTCTTTACACGAAAAAATGTAAAAAGGGTATATAAGGTTTGTCAAGATTTTCGTAACGCATTAAAGGAAACTTCGGAAATACCACTAAGTATATATCAGTATACTTTTACAGTTCAAACTACTCTCTCAGCTTTTGAACTCTTCGAATAAAACTTTATACACATACTTTTCGGGAGCGCACCCTGTTCACCATTTGATTTGATTGAAATTGGACGTCTATTTCTTGTACCTATGATATAAACTTAACAAGCGGATATGAGGTTTCTCCGTTTTTAATAAAGGTATTCAAATGGAATATGGTGTATACAGTACTGATATTTGCAAAAGACAACGTACAAAATTATTTTCAAATGGGTTTAAATTTAGATATAGCTTCCATATAAACTCTCGATCAAGACACATATTTTTCTTAGAAAAAGTTTTTTATTTCATAAATAGGTTTAATATTTTATTTACAGTACATACTTATTATGTACTTTAAATTTAAAATTTACGTATCTTTCATAAAATGCAATATGAAGTTATTCCAACAAAAAACGTTTCATCCCACTTTTGAGAATTTATTAAAAAGAAATACAATGAATACAAAAATTTATAGTGGGGCCCCCTAAATTCGGGGGCCCGAAAGCGTTGCTTCCAGTTGCTTCCCTGTAGTTACGCCACTGCCTGCTACTAAACAGCATTTTAAGTTTCGCTAAAGGTTTTAGCTGGTTTTAAACCCTGATATTATCTCTATATACGGTAAAAACAATGGACTAATAGACCTAAGTGGAACCCCTAAGGAACGCCGCTATAACCTAACCTAACCTTGAGGCAAGCGATGATACAGTTATTTCGTATTGTATCGGAGATGTTGCTTTATTATTAGCAATTACTTGAATATCAAATTATGGTTCTTGAAATTATATTTTTTATTAAAATTTAATATTTTAGATATGAATATATTAATTATTGGGGTATTAATTGTGTTAGCTGCAATAACTAAAAGAGCTCAAATTCCAATTTCAGCTTGATTACCTGCAGCAATCGATAGGTCCTAATTCGAAGGTGATGGAATAAATTTTGAACGATGAATCATTTTTATACTTATTTTTATACTTTATATATTAAATGTATACTGATTTAGTTCGATAATGGGTTGAAATTATCTTTAATATTTTAATAATAATATAAATATTTTTAAGTGTTTTAAGTGAAACCTTATATGCTTTTATTCGGCGTCTATATTCTTCTCTGATGTTTTGTTTTTTTTTTTTGCTTTATACTAACTCAATATTTGTTTTTTTTTGATAACCATCAGATTTTATTTGTGTTAAAAAAAGTTTGAATTTTTTAATAGCTTAAACATTTTTTTTATTAAAAACTAAAAAAATACCTGACCTTCCATAATGATTTCTAGTTTAAAGAGCAGCCCAAGAGCTTGTGCTTACTAATTAATTCCTCGCCGAATTTTAAGCGCATCTTTGCTTTCTTGTTAATTTTTTTTATAAACATTATATTTTCTGGTATGAAGAATCACCCTAAGTATATCATTTGAAAATCAATAATAGCTCTATATTTATAATAACTTTTTCGAAATATTATTATAAAATAAAAAAAAACTAGATGTTGAATAAGTAACATTGTTGAGTTGATGTTACATAAATGTTGTTCTTTATAATGCTTTTAAACGTTTTTTTAATAAAATTAAAAGTTCTGTTATCTAATTAATGGAAATCTTTAATGATTGATACTCGTAACCTTAAGGTATTTATGTCTATCACACGATAAACATGTGTGTGCTCATATAATATATTACTTCATATAAAATACTACTCTTCACATACTCATAAAATATATATACTGCCTTAAATTCTTTTTTTTTTGTACCATAAAAATAAATAAATAAAATAAAAATTCTTTAAGTTTAACTTGGCCAAGTCAATCAAAAGCAACAGTTTCGTACGAGGTTACATATTTCAAAATTGGCTGTGTTACAATAGGTACATACAGACGTGTCTGCAGACAGTTTCGGTCCGTCCATGGCACAGACAAAATCATTAAAACTGTAAGTTTTTCCTCTGCATAAAATGAAAAAAAATGAAAGAAATGCAAAATTTTTTCGTGGGGGTTTGAATAAGTTTCATTTTTTTTTATTTTTTTGACTTTATTGCCCTAGAACGTAATAAAATTCTACTTTAATCCTGTCAAATCAACTTTGCCACAAGACTTCTCGCATGATTTAACAGTTTGATTTGTTGAGGCCAACACACAAATCCCAACGTATGAGTCGTAAATTCAGTTTACAACTGATAGAAATAAGCCAAAATGGTAAATAAAATAAAATTATTTAAAAGTAAAAATGTATAAATAAATTCAATTTAACATATATACACACATACACTGTTTGTATACCCAAGCCAGCACCCTGTATTTGCTGTAAGCAAGCAATAGTTGGAAGGCTTTAAATTGCCGTGTTGTTGGTTGGCACAGAGAGACTTTAAACCTTATTTATCGTCGTCTTGGACGACTTGGAGTATGAAAGCTTTTAAGGGAGTGTCGTTTGTAGTTATTTGTAGGCAATTTATTTACTTTTCTTCAATACTAAATTTTTTTTTGTTTTTTTTTTGTTTTGTTTTTGTTGTTTCATTAACTTTACTTTGCCGACATGTCGCCAATATTGTTTATATATAAATATTTTTAGTTAATTTTTACCTACGGTATCTCACAACGCATCACATTAATGCGATATTGTACTTTGCTTCAAGGTAGATAAACTTACCGCCTGCGTACACGTTCATCTAAGCTAACATTTGTTTGTATCTTTTTCCGTATGCAAGTACGTATTCCCATACGCAAGTACTCACGGGTACGAGCATGAAACTAGGCTCAACGCAATATTTTTAATTAAATTTCTATGTTGCTAGTATTTTTTAACTCCAAACGTTAAGGTATTTATGTCAAAGTATATTGTCTGTCTGTACTCACAAGCATTCATTCATTTATTTATTAGTATTTTTATATACTATATATCAAAAATTATTTATTTATATATTCATTTATACAATCAAATGAAAAAATTTCTTTATATTTTGATTAAAAATCTTTTATTATTTATTGCATGCTGTTATTGACCTTGTGCCGCATAGTAAAAATATTTGTAAATACCAGATAGACGCCAAATTTTTTAAATTGGTATACTTAACTTCCTTATAATTATTTTTTGAACAAAATCTATATTATTAAATATCATAAACTGTACGCGTATCTCATATTTATGTCGTTGTTAAATGTAGGCAGATGACTAAAAGTGTTTCATTAGAAAAACTTGACTCATATATTTGTTTAAGTCTAACAAAAATTAATGGATAGAAATAAGAAGTTTTCTAAGAAATCACCTATTTACATATAAAATTTTTATAATTAAATGTTTATGTAAATTGAAGTTTATTATAGTATATAATAATTGGCCTTTTAACAGGTCGTTAGGAATTTAGAGATTTGCTTAGTCAAGTCCGAGGTTCTACAGAGGAATTTTTTTAAAGCAGCATTAACCACTTATTTAAACTACACTTATATAAATTTATCTACAAGATAATTTATGTAAAGCGACATTAACCACTTGTTTGAACTACAGTTAGATAAATAACCAATTACCAATTTTTATAAAATAAAAAAATAGATCGAACCAATTTCAATTTTACTTTTCTTA